ACTTTTCTCCATCCACTGCTGGAAACCTGCTGAGAGGCCGAAGCTCGTCGGCACGACACAAGGAAGACACCGAGGCTCGGGAAGATGGGAATGCCCACACCAAGTGGCCAGCAGCAAGCCACTCTCCGTGTCCCTTATATCCCCAAGGTGCACTTCCTTCACAAAGGCCATGAGAAGCTCATTGGTGACAAAGCTACAGGCCAGGGATGAAGGGAGCAGATGCTGACATCCAAAGGGGACCCTGATTTCTCAGGGACCAAGGCCCAGACAGGGTGGACTTGGTGAAGTGATGGTGCCGTGAGCATCTCTGGCTGTGGCGAGCAGCCCCGCAGCTGAGGGTGGTGGATGGCTGCAGTAAAACTTCAACTGATCACTGAAAGAAGAGGTCAGATCTGGCAAGCTGAGCAAAGCACCTTAATGGAGAGTGGTAAGCTCTCGCCTGATTTCCGGGCCCTGGATAGGATGGCAGACGGGCTTCTCTGTGGAAGGACTCTAAGAAGTATTTACAAATTCAAGCACCATACGGTATGTACCTGAGACCTTCCACTGCCTTTCCAGGGCCCCTGCAACCATCGCTCCAGGCATCTATCACTGACACCACACTACCCCAAAATACAGCTTAAAACAGCAACCACAGTTCATTTAGCTCATAAATGTAGGCAGCGTTCAACAGAGGTGGCTCATCTCTTCCGTTTGACATCAGCTGGGGCCGCTCAGCTCATGGGGGACCTATTCCTTCCACCATGGCCCGTGCCATAAGAGCTGACTGGAGGCTCCTTTCCATGAAAGCCTCTCCACTGGCTGCATGGCCCCTTCTGCTTGGTGGCCGAGTTCCAAGAGCAAGCAGACCCCAGAAGGCTGCTGTCTGCCTTTGTGGCCTGGTCTCAAAAGCCACGCTGTGTGATCTTGGCCATATTGAAGGTTCCTGTGTCTGTGTTTACTACCTCAGGGCTCCATCCTCTGGGCTGCTTTGTGGGGTACATGGTCAGTCCCTGTACCACTTCTCCAGCTAACTCAAGGCTAGACTGTCAGGAGAGGGTGCTGGATCACCCTCTGCAAGATCAGCAGAGGAGGGCTTCCTTTCTGCTTTGCTTGTTTGCTGCTTTGCTTGTTTGCAGTGCTGGCATCAAACCTAGGACCCCACACATGCTAGGCAAGTGCTCTACCACTAAGCCAAGCCCCAGTCCCTGGGGCTTTCCTTTCTGTGCCCAGAGCCCCACTTCTGTCTGTGGTGCACCTGCCAGCCAATCCACTCACAGAAAGCTCTTTCTCCACCACCTGTGGGTTGCTTCTTGCACAACTCCTCCCCTGCAAAGCCCTCATCCAGCAGCCTCTCCTGTAGGCAGCCTTGGTCCTCATCTCCTACCAGCTTCCTTCACTGTGGACAGCTGCAAACTCTGCTGCAGCCACAGACCCTCCAACAAAGTGAGGACTGGCCTTGGCATGGCATCCTCTGTCCTAGAAATTCTAGCTGCTTCTTGCATTTGCTATTCCTGGATCCTTAGGGTTCTCATGTACACTCTTCATAGTTAACAGCTTTTTCTTTTTACTTTTTTTTTTTTTTGGTGGCACTGGAATTTGGATTCTGGACCTCAGGCTTGCTGGGGAGGCACTCACTCCATCAGCCTTTTTTTTGTGAAGAGGTTTTTGAGATAGGGTCTCATGAACTATTTCCCCGGGGCTGGCTTCAAGCCACGAGCTTCCTGATCTCTGCCTCCTGAGTAACTAGGGTTACAGGCGTGAGCCACTGGCGCCCGGCTTAACATCTTTTTCTAGTGAATGATTCGTTATTTTACATTTTCTTGCCCCGTGCACATGGCCAGTGCCACGGCTTCCGTCTCCTCCTGGACCTGGGTGATATGGAAAACATCATCCCAGGGCCCGGGAGCTGGGTCTTCCAGGATGGACCGGGAGTTACTTCAGCCTTGATGTTGGGCTGGATGTGCTGATAAGCCTCAGGCCCGTGAGAAACGGGTGCTACCGCCCCGTGTGTGGGAGCCTCATCCTGAAAGAAGCCCCGCGTCCAGCTGGTTATGACAATGTGCCTCTTAGTGCTCATGCTGCAGGGCCACGTGGCTACTGCATGTCACCAGAGGACACCAGATGACCGCCAGGGCATTTGAAGCGGCTCTGAGGGGCAGGCAACGGTCCACGGCTGCCCTAAGAGAATTTCACTTCTCATTCCGAAGGGGCCCGTGTCACCGCAGATCCAAGACCAGCGAAGTGCCCACGCTGTGTGATACAACAGCGGCAGAATTCGCCCCTGGCCACTTTCCTTTCCTGAAAGTTTTGGCCTTGATAGAAAATGAGATCCTGAACTCAGACAGGAGGCTGCCCTTGAACTCAAGTCACACTGACAACCTTGCACTCTCTCTGTGTGGGAGCAACAGTGTCTGAGGGACTGGTATCCCACATTTGGGGATCCTCTCATGAACCCACCAGTGGCAGATCTTCTAAGGGTTTCAGTGCTCCTGGAGGACCACCACAGCCACCTGTTGTTGCTGTGAGACCCATAGTTAGTGTCAAGTCCTAGGAGCCATGTCCACAGTGTGACACAGTGGAAAATAGCTTGTAGTGGGTATTAGGATTTTTTTTCTGTAAAGGACTAAATAGTGCTGACTGTGGTGACACATGCCTGTAATCCCAGCATTTGGGGGGTTGAGGTAGGAAGGTTGCGAGCTTGAGGTCAGCCTGATTTACAAAGACAGACTGTTTCAAAGATGGGGGTGGCAAATAGAAAACCTTTTTTTTTGCACTACTGGAGTTTGGACTCAGGGCCTACACCTTGAGCCACTCTATCAGCCTTTTTTTGTGGTTTTTTTTTTTTTTTTTTTTTTTTTTGGTGATAGTATCTCTCAAACTGCCTGAGGCTGGCTTCAAACTGTGATCCTCCTGATCTCTGCCTCCTGAGTAGCTAGGTTTATAGGCGTGAGCCATGGGCGCCCAGCCTAGGAAATCTTTTATACTTTGAAAAACACACGGGTCTCTGTCCAGCTTCTTGTTCCTCTTCTTCTTCCTCTTATTTTTGGTGTTGTTATTGTGCGTGTGGTATGCATTTTACAACCCTTTAAAAATATAGAAACCATTCTTAGCTCATGGGATCTACAAAAAAAGGTTCCAGGCCAAATTTGTCTCACGAGCTGTAGTTTGCCAAACTCTGGCTTATAGACTACAAGAATTCAGAGATTTTTCAAATGTCTATCAGCAGAGAGCTGGAGAATATGGAAGGGGATTCCAGAGTGTTAGACTGAGGAGGTTGAAATAGAACCCCAGGTGCGGCTGAATTCACCCACCAAGGTTCCTGTTCACTATGCAAGTGCAGCTGGCTGTGCAGCTGGCGCCCAGCCCTGGCTCCGTCACCTGAGGGGCTGAAACTTGAACTCGACAGGCACCTGCAGTTCTTGAGCGTGAAAGGCCAGGGCATCCCTGGTGTGGTGTGGACAAGGGAGTGCAGAGGCTCTTGGAGGGAGGATTGCTGAACTGGGTCCATTAAGCACACCACAGCCCCCAAGGCACAGTCTTCTCCGATGTGAGACCCACACATGGGGGAAGCCCCTGCATCCCAGAAAGTTGCATTACTGCTGTCCTTTGTAGGCCAAGTGGACCATGGGGACAGGGTGCTGCTGTTGAGATGGGCTCTGTGATTTTATGGGGACAATGGAATCGCACTGCAGCAGAGGCCAAGAAACAGCAGCAGCCACCAAGCCCAAGGTTGGCCAAGCCCTGTGGCGGACAGGCGGATGCACCAATACTCACAGTGCCCTGACCTGCAGAGCCCTTGGCTAATCAGAGGGGCCGTGGGAATGACCCACTAGAATGCTGCTCACCCTGTGAGACAGAACTAGAACTCTGGGTCTGGAGGCCAAAGCCTGACTGTAGTGACTTGACGTGTGGCCTCGCACGCACTAAGCTAAGTCACAGACTTGGGGCCCTCAGCCTGGAGGAAGAACCAGAAGTGTAGCTGCAGGAAGACAAGAAAGCCACCTTCAGGCCTCCGCAAAGGGCCCTGGGCTCAGTTACTGGAGTACCCGTGGGGGTCGCAGAGAGCAGAGACACTCAGCCACTCAGGAGTCACAAGACCCTGGCTTTGAGTGTGCTCATTCCTGGGGACTCAGATGCCACAGGCACGGTGGGGGGTGTTAGGGACCCAGATGACCTGTGGAATCTTAGGACTCACACATCCTTCCTGTGGCTGGTGCTGTCCTGGAATTTGTAACTGAACAAGAATGCTGGGTGGTTGGCACGGCCTCAACCACTGGCGGGGGGCACAAGGGCCCCTCCCTGACAAGGCAGGAGGTCAGGGCAACGCAGCTCCCCTGGGGGTACTGCGAGGCCCGTGCCCAGCAAAGACTGGGAAGCCGTGGTGCGCTGTCTGTCCACCATGGTCACTTAGCCGCATCTCTGGGGTCTGGACAGAGGTCAGAAGATCTCGGGGAACCCTGAGGTTTATGGTGTGTAATCGGCAAGGATCCCAAGGCAGCCGGGGTGACTCCTCTCCCTGTCACCCCAAGTGCCCCAGGAACGCTCTGATCTCCTGAAGAGAAGAACGCTTTTGCCAGGGAGCAGACGCGATTCCAGGAAGAAGTGAGGCTCCTGGGCCCTGGCCACGTGAGGGGAGCTCAGAGCAGGGGAGGAAACCCTGTGAGGTCGCACACGCTGGATGTGACATCACTAAACGCTGGATGTTTAGTGCTTAGTGACACCGGCACGGAGTTCCTGAAGGCAGAGAGCCCGAACGAAGCTTCGTCAAAGAGGGAGGTGACAGGCGTCCCCATCCTGGCGGGCGGGGAGGCGCGCACGCGGAGGCGCGCACGCAACTCTCCTCGGCGCGTGCGCGAAAGGGAGGTGGGGGCGGGGAGAGGAACGTGCGCGTGCGCGGGAAGCCCTGCCCCCCGGGGGTGGGGGGCGCGGCGGTTCGGGGCCGCGCGGGCCGCGTGGACGCGCTTCGCGTTCTGCGGCGCGGGGCCCCGCGCGGCCGCCGTAAGGTGGGCGGGGTACGGTGGCCGCGCTGGGCAGCGGCGGCGGCGGCGGTGGCGGCGGACTGTGCCGGCCTGGCGCTGGGCCGCCATGGGCAATCTGTTCGGCCGTAAGAAGCAGAGCCGGGTCACCGAGCAGGACAAGGCCATCCTGGTGAGGGGTCACGGGGTCGGCGGGAGGGCCAGGGCCTCGGCCGCGCGTTCGGCGGGGGAAACCGAGGCAAGGGCGGTGCGCGGGATCCGCGGGCCTGCCGGGGGGTCCGGGCGCGGGGTGCCTCAGTTTCCCCCGCGGCCTGGGCCCGTGGACTGGGCCGCCTGTGGACGCCTGTGTGTCTTCCGGGAAGCAGCGGGGCCGCGGCGCTCCCCAGCCAGCCCCGGACCCAAGGGAAAGACCGGTTCTTCCCTTGGCCTCTGAACCCTAAGTTGTCAAGAGTTCCCAGCTGAGGTCCCCTGGGCGAGGACAGGCAGTGGGCGTGTTTGTCACTATACCCGAGGTTTCCAGGGGAAGAGGGTGAAGCCCCCCATAAGCAGGAAGGCCAGAGCCACTCCTGTCCTTACGGACTTGCCCTCCCTTTGCTCTCCAAGGAGGACTTCACACTGCCAAGGGTTGACTTTGGTGGATCTTGCGGGCCAGGCAGACCTGTGTCTGCCCCTCCCTGGGGGGCCAGGGCTCCCCATGACACCCTCAGCACAGGGGTGCTTTGCCAGGGTAACGGGTGGACAGCCCACCCCAGCCGCTCAGACCTGTCCCTTTGCAGAGGGGGCCTGGTCCTGCCTCCCTGGCTCCTCTCTCTTCTTCCTGAGCAATGTTGTGTACACAGCTTACAGGGATAATGCCAGGATTAAGGACAGGAACCTGACCACAAGGTCCCCCAAGCTGAAGGGCCACTGTTTCTTCTTCCCCTTGGGGACTCCACTGGGAACTTTTGATAACTCAGGGCTCAGTAGCCATGTAAGAAACCATCTCTCACTTGGGTCTTGAGTTCGTGTCAGTTACGAAAGTAACCCAGGCTTTGTTGGGGAGACATACAGGACAGGTCAGGTAGAGGGCATCTTCTTGCACAGCAAGGAGAGGACAGGCTGGTCCCGCTGTCCTTGGGGAACACTGGCTGGCCTGATAGACGAGGTGAGTGGTTTCTTACCAGCCGAGCCGCAAAGGTGTGTGTCCCTGGCTTGCTTCCCTTACAGTGGCCTCCCCTCAGAGTGTCAGCCCCAGTAGACCAAGTGCCCCTCGGTCTGCATCTGCTCTTCATAAGGGAAATAGCCGAGTAGGGAGGCTGTCCACAGCTGGAAATGCCTGTGCATCCTTTCTGGGATGACACAGGGTCAAAAGGCCATCTCATCCATTCAGACACAGAAGTGAATACAGGGAAGCTAAGCACTTGTGAAGAATGGGAATAGCCAGGCATGGTGGCCACACCTGCCATCCAGGCACACGGAAGGCAGAGGCAGGAGGATTGCAAGTCCCACGCCAGCCCCAGCTATGTCGTGAGACTTTGTCTTAAAAACACAAAACGGGCATGACATGGGTGCTCCTGAGTCCTGTGTTCTCCATTGGGTGTGGACCTTCCAGGGACCAGCGCTGCTTCCCAGCCTGACCCAGAGCACACCTGCTGCTCACAGCCCTGTTCTGCATCTGAGCCAGGCTGTGACTGATTGGAGCCAGGGTCTCCTCCGGCACAGTGGACATGGTGGGGAGGTGTCAGTAGCACCCCACAATTGCAAGACCAGAAATGTTTCAAGATCCTGCCACTAGAGGTCACTGCTTCGAATGTTGCCTGGCCTCATAGGGGTCCATTTGAGAGCCCTCACCGTATGGCCAGCTGGTGCCCCGCAGCCTGGCAAGCACCCACCCTTGTGGGTGCTGACCCAGCCGCTTTCTTGACAGCAACTGAAGCAGCAGCGGGACAAGCTGAGGCAGTACCAGAAGAGGGTCACACAGCAGCTGGAGCGGGAGCGGGCCCTGGCACGGCAACTGCTGCGAGATGGCAGGAAAGAGTGAGTGGGGCCGGGCGAGGGGCTCAGCCCTGTGGCTGGGGGGGCAGCCAAGGTGGGCACAGCCATCACCATGGGCTTCCCCTGCAGACGGGCCAAGCTGCTGCTCAAGAAGAAGCGGTACCGGGAACAGCTTCTGGACAGGACAGAGAACCAGATCAGCAGCCTAGAGGCCATGGTAGGCGGGCCTGGGCCTTTGCCAGGAACCTGAGGGCCTCCAGGGTTGGTCTAGTCCTGGGTAGTGTGAACAGGTCAGAGGTTGAGGGGTCAGCACAGGCATCCCTGGTACTAGGGCTGAGCAGCCCTAGTACCACTCTTGCTAGCTCAGCAAGCTGGCAAGCAGCTGGCCATACTTTTGAGTGTCTTCTGGCAGGAGAGGGACGGGGCACAGGAGTGGTCCTGACTCCAGCAGCCCCTGTGGGCAGAGCTGCCACCTGACCCTGCCTGGGTCTCCCCTTAGGTGCAGAGCATCGAGTTCACACAGATCGAGATGAAGGTGATGGAGGGGCTGCAGGTGGGGAACGAGTGTCTCAACAAGATGCACCAGGTGGGTCCTCGCTGGTGGGCAGGTATGGAGGAGGGTCCCAGTGGAGCTGCCAGCCAGGACGAGTTTGTGCCAGAACCAGGGCATGAGCCTGGCTGGACCAGGGAGAAGCACCAGTGCCTGGCAGGCAGGCAGCTTAGGGCCAAAGGTACTTGAGGGTGGTGTTGTGTGGCACAGCAAGTGGACTGGGTGCATGGGTGCTGAGTGACAGGGAAGGTCTGCTGGAGTAAGGGACAGTGTGGAGCTAATCTTGAAGAGACTCCAACCTTGGCTCAGGAAATGTCATGGGTGTGAACAGTGGGGGCTCCTGAGGACAGGCCAGCAAGTAGGCCAGTTAGAGAGCAGAGGACTTGTTGGCAGGGTCAGGTGCTTCTCTGAATGTCTGAATAGGTGTGTGTGGCATGGGTGCCAACCAAGTAGAGTGCTGTGTTGAACTTGCCAGTGGAGGGAAATCAAGTCACTGTGCAGCTGTGGTTTCTGCTTTGATGTGTTTTACCCATAACTGTCAGGGTTGTCTTGGGCGCAGGAAGGTCTGGGCAGTGCCGTGCGGGTGTCTGAAGACGGATGTGACGGCTCCTGTAGCCAGAGGCCCTGCCTGCACAGAATGACCGAGGTGTCAGGGGCCCTGTGCCTAGCTTCATTGAAGCAGGAACAGAGCACAAGGCTTGGCCTCTGATGTGGGGGCTGTCATTGCCTCACTGACCAGCTTCAAAACCTTGTCCACAGGTGGTCCATAGAGGAAGTGGAGAGAATCCTGGATGAGACCCAAGAGGCCGTAGAGTACCAGCGGGTAGGTGCCAGGCTACTAGTCCACCCCCACCTGCCAGTCAGTGCCATTGCCAGCCTGGTGAATGGACGGCTGGCCACCCTCAAGGACCAGATCACCCCACTGTGTGTGCTGACCACTTTTCTCCAGGGGGCACCCTGGAGCCACAGCCACCTTCTTTCCCTGGGCCCACCCTGGTGAATGGACAACTGGCCACCTTAAGGGCTGCTTTGAGCAGGGGCTTCCTGGGCCAGCATAGCTGCCCTCCATGCTGCTCCTCCTTTTGCAGCAAATAGATGAGCTGCTGGCAGGGAGCTTCACGCAGGAGGACGAGGACGCCATTCTGGAGGAGCTGGATGCAATCACTCAGGTACTCACCCCTGGACTAGGCGTGGTCACCAGTCAATAAGACGCTGCAGTGGGCCTCGCCTGTGGTGGTGGGCCTTGGGTGCACCTAATTGTCTCCCTAAAGTGACTCACGCTTGCCCTAAACCAAAGCCCTCTCCATGCGCCCGGCTGGCAGCTGGAGAGAGCAATGAAGAGGAGCAATTGGGGGCCACCTCAGGGTCTTGGAGCAGTTGTGACTCAAGTGTCTGGAATGGGCCCACGGTGCCTGTGCTCCCTCATGTGACTCTCAGGCAGTGGGTTTTCTTTTCCCCACCATTTCTGCTGACTCCTGTGCACACTGGGCTGGGTGTACTGCTCCTGCCCCCATTCCCAGTCTACAAGTGCTGTATGTACCCCCAGAGCCACCTGTTGTCCTGAGCCCAGTAGGTCTGGCCAGGAAATACAGCAGAGGTTCTGTCACATCTTTCTGGCCCTGGGGGTGCCAGCATACCCTGGTTGCCTGTTTCTGCCATGGTCCTAGCCTTGTGAACTAGGGCCTCTGGGGACAACCCAGGAGTCAACCATTGTCATGCCCCTCAGGATCCTGAAGACTGTAGGACAAGCCACCACTGTGGTAGCTGTGTCACCATCCAGGTGATGTGGGTCTCCACAGACGCAGCAGCTGGGGTGGTGCAGGCCTGGGCCTTGCAAGCAGGAGAGCCTTGTCCTGCTCAGAATCTGCAGTCAAGCAGGTCTGGCTCCTCAGAGAAGAGGCTGCCCCAGCAGCCTGTGAGGCCCTCACAAAGGTCTCATAGCCTCCCTTTGCTTCTTGCAGGAACAATTTGAACTACCAGAGGTTCCTACAGAGCCCCTTCCTGAATCAAACCCAGGTAACTGCACGTCTTGTGCTTCTTAGTATGCAGGGCACGCTGGGTCCTCGGAGGGAACAATATCAAATGTGCCCATTCTCCTGGTGCCTTTCTCCGTGCAGGGGACACATGTGTGTTTGTGGTCATGGCCTGCTCTGTGTGGGTGCCTGGCCTCAAATTGGGCCTGAGTATCTGAGGGTTTGGGTCACCTAGTGAGATGAGAGCCAGAGCCACTTACAGAAGTGTCCACTCACTAGAGCTGCAAAGGCTTGTCAGCTGCACTGCTCCTTCAGGGTCAGGCCGGTTGCCTGGAATGGGCTGCCCTGGGATGGCAGTTCCTGCAGCATTGCTGAGCACAGGCCCTTGGAAAGCTTCCACCCGGACCCTGGTTTTTTCTTTTCCTACTTCCTCTGTTCCTTGAGGCTGTGCTGGGGACTGTTGAGATGGGCTTCATTCACTTAGCTGGCCTCCGTGGGCCCATCTGGCTTCCTGTTGTAGCTCTTCTCTGGTTTGGCATGCCCTTCTCCTAGTGGCCTGCTCTCAGTGGCCTCTGTGGCCTCATTCTCCTGTGGAAGTGTCTGCCATGGTCTTTTATACATCACAAACATTTCTGTTTCCTCCACAGAAAAAGCCCCTGTCAAAACCAGACCCAGGCAGGCAGAGCTGGTGGCAGCCTCATAACTTGGCCTCTTACGGGACTCACAGGGACTCCCCAAGGACTGACCCACAGAAAATTGCCTGCAGGGCGGCCCTCGAGGGCTCCCAGGAGGCTGACATAGGCCGGGCTGGCAAGCATGGACAGTGCTGACGGCAGAGCAACGGCACACACGGGGCTCGCACATCAGGACAACTCCACAGTGTTTCCCTCACAGTCTAGTCTGAACGCTCTGTGGTGCTGTTTCCTTGCTCTCATTTCTGGATTAAACAGCCACATTCAAGCCCTAGGCCAGGCCAAGGTTCTGGCAGCTGTGGTTCCCACGGTGACCACCCAGGCCTGTGCTCCTGGTGCTGTTCAAACTGCTGACCCTGTCCCCTGTAGCTTGCACTCCTCTGGGGAAAATGCCCTCAGACTGGGGGTTCCTCTACTTCCTCTTCACTTCTTTGCCGCTCCCATTAGCTGGTAGGGGGCTTTCATTAAGGGGTCCTGCCCTTACTTGGCATCTCAACATCTCTCAGCTTCTGTGCAGGCTAAGGGTGGAAACCCAGGAAACGAGTTTTCTAAACCTCTCGGTGCCTCTTCTTTGGCACTCCAGACTCAAGCCTCTTGTATCTGGGGGAGGTGGGCCATGAGCCGTGCCTGCTGGATCGACAACTTCAGAAGCCCCAACTTCCTGCTTCAACACTCGTGGGTCTCACACAAAGAAAAGACATCCCAAATGTGCAGCAAGACCCTGCTCCAGCAGGTGTGCCCTGCCTTGTGTCCAAGGGGATCCTGGACCCTGAGCCACCAGCAGCTAAGGCAAGAGGCCCAGAGCCTGGAAGTGACTTCTCGTACTTGGCACTGTTTGTTTCTGGACAGTCTCTCCGGGTTTCCACGGGTCTGTGAGCAGCACAGACCCCAGAAGGCCTCACACACCTTTGGGGCCCACCAGGAACAGAGAGGCACCTCTTCCTAACCCCAAACAGGTTGGCCCCTGTATTAAAGTTGGCCCCCAGCATGGTTTTCTGTTCCGTCTTGGGCCTGGTTGGTATCTTAGCGTGGTTCCCTCTGGCTTTGGCTACACAGGTAGGCTAGAGTGTGGTTTCTGCTCTCATGACCTAAGACACAACTTCTTGGTCACCATGCCTGGACAAATCAAAGATGACACTAAGTCAATTAGAAGAGGTAGAAGTTCTGGGCTCCCCCTGGTGGTGGACAACGGGCCAGGGGACTCCAGCTTGTGTGGCCCTGGGCCCCAAAGGTCGCCTCTGGGCAGCTACACACTTCAAGGGCAGGGCACTGCTCTGGCCACATCTGAGAAGGCACAAGGGTTGCCCATCCTCATTCATGTGGGGAGTGGCTGGAGTCAGGTCTCAAGGGCCCAGGCTTGAGATCCCTCGTGGTGAGGGGGACCACTTGTTTGGAGTCATGATGCCCATGTGGGAAACCAGATCCTGAGGGAGCAAACAGGCAGGACCCTCTGATGGACAGCCTCCTCATCCTGTGTGGTGACACTGGCCTGTTGTTGCCAGGTGTCAGGCTTTTTCAGGAAAGGAACCTGGGTTACCATGTTCAGTGCACTGGGGACAGTGCTGAACAGCCACCAAGACCTGCAGACCAGCTGCAGCGACAGCCCTTCTTGGCTCTTCTACAATATGTGTGTCTTCTAGGAGGGGGCTGTGCCTGCCAGCCACATGGAGATTTTGCAGAAAACACTCCCCTGGTTGCCCACTGGCATCTGTAACTGCAGGTCTTAGGCCCATGCAGTGCCCCTTTGGCCCCATGCATGTGGAAAGGACCAAAGGCCTGCCTTCAGGGAAGCATAGGCAGACCCTGGCTAATTTGATCCCAGACCTCAGGCACAGACTCACCAGACTTTTTAGTAGGTGTCCACCAGCTGGTGAAGTGGCCCTAGGAGAGGCTGAGTACCTGGCAGCATGTTGTGGACCAGGCTCTGTGCTCAGCTCCTGAGCCAAGCCAGATTGGGCCATGGCACTCAGCCTTGGGGGAGCCATCATCTCCTGGGACAGCCAAGGACGGAAGGGTCACAACCCCTCATACTGTCCATGAACCTCATGGGCTCTGCCCTGGCAGCCCAGAACAGCCTTGAGCTAATTCCCAGGCTCTAGCCTTGGCATGGCTTGTCTTGTAACTCCCTGTTCTGTCGTGGGGCTGGCCAGAGCCTGACCTGACTCCCTTGTAGCCTAGGTGGGGACATAAGACCCAAGTCACATTCAGTGCAAAGCTTGTGGTACAGCTGGTGTCCTGCTGGGGAAGATACTGGAGGCCAAGGAGGCTTGGAAGGGGATGGGTTGGGAGATGGAGACTGAGCAGGGCCCGTGCTGAGTGGTACAGAGGGGCTGGAGAGACACTGGGAACACAGGACACCAGCAACTTAGAGCTCCTGGGAAGCCATTCAGGCCCTGGCACAGAGGCACAGGCAGTGAGGAAGGATTCAGGTTTCCAAAGGCCTTGTGGGCAGTGTGGGAAAGGTATGGCCTGGACAGGGGGCAGAGATAGGGTGGGGGTGTCCTGGGTGGGATGAGGACACCTGACCCCCATGCGGGCCCACTGCCTGGCTGGCTCCTGCACAGACAGTCATTCAGTGAAGGGAGGAGATTTTAATCCAAACTCAAATCCCAGCTTCTTGCTAGCTGGGCTTGGCCACCAAATGTTTTGCACCTCAGTTCCTGTGTGTGTGAGATCTTGGCGGGGTCTCGGGTCTCTGCAGTCTCTGCTGGCCTTGATTCCATTTTTTGTAGGCTGGCCACCCAACTTTGAATTGTGCGCACCTGGAAACCAACTCAGTTTTAGAAACTTGGTTTCTTTGTGGGGCTGTAACAACGCCTGGGACTGGGAGAGTTACAATGAACGAACTTATTTCTCACAGTTCTTGAGGTCGAAAGTCCAATGTCAAGGTGCCAGCAGCCTTCCAGGGCCTTCCTGCTGTGCCTTCACGTGGCCGAAGGCAAGGAGGGTCCAACGTGCCCTCTTAAGGACACTCATGAGGGAGACCCCGGGGACTCAATACTGCTACAGAGGCACCAACGTTCAACCATCACAGAAGCAACAGGACAAACAGTGACCGTTGGAACCCCAAGTGAAATCGTGTGAGCTGCGTTACACCATCAGAAAGAGACAGCACAGCCATGGTGGATCCGCTGCAGAGGTACACGGCCCAGGCAGGAGCTGCGGCATGGACGCCTGGCTTCGGTGTTTGCTTTTCAGTGCCAGGATCAAACCCAGGCCTCGTGTAAGCCAGGAAAGTGCTTTCCTCCAAGCTGCACCCCTGACCCTTATATTTTGCTTTTTAAATGAACATGCCAGAAAAACTGAAATTTTATTTTTCCGGACAGTTCTGTGAGTTTCAGCTCATATCGACTCTGGTAACCACCATCAGGATACAGGGCACTCCATGCCCCAAAGCTCCCTCCTCCTGGCCTCTCATGGTCTCCCCCTCCCCGCTCTCACCCCTGTGACAACTAATCTGTTCTTTTGCGAATGTCACATAGTGGAAATCACTGTGTATTGGCTTTGGACCGTGGCATCTGTCCCTTTGCCAGTTACTCAGGTGTTCATGTGTGCCCAAAGTTGGCTCCTTTTTCTTGCCTAGTTGTATTCCCTTGGTGGATAAACCACTCGTGTTTGTTGAGGGACATCGGGTTGTTTGCAGTTACTGCTGATTGTGACCGACTGTTCCCAGTGCTCAGCAACATGGCAGGCACAGGTGTGTGTCTCGTCTTAGGAGCCATTCCTGAGGGCGACAGACCAGCACTCACGTGGAAGTACTTGACTGCTTCTTCTTTTAACTGCTCTGACTGCACTCCTGTGTCCCTCTTAGTCCTGCATTGCCCTGGTGGCCAGGGAGCCAGGCACCATTCCTGAGCTCACCTGGACCTCACTTTAAATTACAGCACCCAGGAGGCTGGGGCAGAAGGATCTCACGTTTGCGGCCTGGGCTACGCCTATGATTTCTTTTTGAGAATTTTATAGGCAGGGCACAGTGGCTCATGTCTATAATTCCAGCCACTTGAGAGCCATGGATAAGAGGATCAAGGTTTGTGGCCAGCCAGACAACAGCATGAGACCTATCTGAAAAACAAAGATAAAAGGGCTGGAGGGGTGACTCAAGTGGTGGAGCACCCACCTAGCAGTGCAAGGCCCCAAATTCAAACCCCAGTACTGCCAGGGAGGGGAGGGTTTTATAGTTTTAGTTCTTACATTTAGGTCTTTGGTCCATTTTGTTTGGCAGGTCTACTGTGTTCTTTTGTGTGTGGATACCCACTGTCTCAGCACCATTTGTTAAATGTGCAGTCCCCCTGCCCCACCAGATCGTTCTGCCACCCTTGCCAAAAATCAGTTATCATAAAGCCAGTTTGCTTCCAGACTCTCAGCTCTTTCCCACTAGCCTACAAGTCCATCTCTACATCCTCAGGGTCAATGAGCTCTGAAATTGGGGCGGGTGAGTCCTCCAGCTTTGTTCTTTCTCAAGATTGTCTGGCATTCTGGGTCTCTTGGAGTTCCAGTTGGATTTTAGGATGCAGTTCAGTCTTCAACAGGGATCACTTTGAACGTGTAGATCAGGTCTGAGAGCACTGCAGGTCATGGAGACAGGCCGCTGTTTCCATTTATTTAGGTCTTTCTTACTTTCTGTCCACAAAGCTTATTCTTCAGGGTATATAGTTTTTGTGTTT